TCGAGACGGTTTTCGATTGCCGCATTGCATGGGGTGCTACAAGGCGATACTTTATGCCACGCGATTCTGTTGTGGGTGCCATGCGGTGGAAATATTTGACGTCGTTGAGGTGCCCTTGGAGGGTGGGGGTGGCGATCCTCCGGCGCGGGTGATTATTGACAGGTTCACACGCCCCTTTGAATTTGCTGTCCCTTCTTTGTACGTTCATGAACTGACCGCTGATATTGCAGAATATATTCAGGCTGCTGCAGTGCTCCATGCATTCAAGGTGTTGTCCTCCGCGCCGTCAACCTCGGCAGTTGACCGACCGGTCTCTTTGAAGGATTCGGGAGGAGGATCCGTTTAATTTGTTCCGCGGCCGGAGCCACTTTCTTCATTTCTTTCAGCTAGACACGCCCACACCGTCACATTGCGTTCTCTTCCCTCAATGGGGGGAATGGGTGATGACGAACCTTGAGAGACGGTGGCTCTCTTTGTTGCATCGCTGAGTCATCGGTCAGCGGCAGTTGATGCATCAGCCCTTCCTGAGGGTCGGCGACACAAACTCCGTGGCTGAGACGATTTGGATGGGAGTTCACAGGGGCAGAATGCGCGCCTTATTTCCGTGCTTATGCCGACGGAATGCAATTATTCGTTCCTTCCCGTGATGCCTCGTGTGTGCCATGACACTCCATTGAGGAGGGCACGAGGCGTCAGTGACCGTGTTATTTTGTTAGACACCACGGCTCTTTTTAGGTGTGTGATTCGACTGTGTGGTGGGTCGGTTGAGGGGGAGGACGTGGATGGGCCGCGCTTACCCGACTGCTGCGCCTCATTTTGCTGAACGCCCGACCAAATTGCTGCTCTCCTTTTGCTTGCTTCACCGGGCCTGGCGACCTCTTGAGGAGCGGTGCGACGGCGTGGACTGTCGGGCTACTGAGGAGGCCGTGGCTGCGCGGGATGTCCTGCGGAATTTTTTTGCTTTTTAGGACTACTGTAGAGAAGAGGACACTTCATGCCTCCTCCACGTCCAGGAGAGTAGATGGAGGGATCGCGGTTGTGGGATCTCACCTCACGAGTGTCTGCGCTCGTTGATCGCGTCGACGGTGCGCTCTGTGTGTCTTCGACCACTGCCGAGACATCCCGCCGTGTTTCTTCCGGTGAACGGGAAAATCCACCGACACGCAAGGGGGTTGCGGGGGATATTGCAGCGAGGAACGCTTTAAAGGCCCTGCAGTGAGGGAGCGCTGCTTGCAAGGATCCCACAGCACTTAGGATTCTGCTCGCTTCTAATTTCTGCTGTCTGTCTGTTGGTTGGTGCCGTTTGCCGGAGGGCATCTTGGCCCGTGCGCAACCGTCAATGACTCTGCTTCTGTGTGTGGCCACACAATGCTTGAGCCGTTGTGGACGGTGAGAGTAATTACTGTGGCGGTTACGACGAAGCGGATGTGTCACGCCGTGAATAGTCTTGCCACCCAATCACCCGCCGCGTCCTGTTTTGGTGATTTTTAAACTTTAATTTGATTTCTAGCACACAAAAACACTAAGGCTACGAAGAAGGAGAAAAAGCGCTAAACGCTACCGTGAAATTCGAAGGCTCTGAAAGGACCAACAACACACACACCGCCCACACACACACACACACACATATTTATATGCTATCACGTGTTGCTGCAGTTATGGCACCCCGCACACACAACCGTCGCCGCGTGACCGGATCCAGCGGAAGGAGGAGGGAAGGAAGAGAGAGTGAGCCGCCGAGGCCCAACATGTCCCGGCGTGCGTTTACTTCCGCGGCGCTGCTCCTCCTCGTCGTGATGATGTGCTGCGGCAATTGAGGAGCAACGCTTGCAAAGGAGAATGATGGCGTGATTGATTTACGACGTGTTCAGGAACCGGCGGGAGTCGATCTATCTGTGCCGCGGACGACGCTGGTGCAGCCGAAGGATGGGGTTGTTCCAGTTACGACGAGGGATTTATTTGCTTCACCCTCTCTCGTCAGTGCTGGTGGAGTAATCGCTGCTTTCGCCGAGGGTCAAATGGATGCCGAATATCAAGGTGGTCAATTAAGTAAGCCCTTTTCTTCTGATGTGGTTGCGGGGTACATCGACTCTGCGTGGAATTGGTCCACTGTTGTTGGTGAGGTCAATAAAAGTATACGTGGAGGGCACACACTGTGCTTGGAGCAGCGGAGGGAGAGGAGAGTTTGGGTGTTGTGCTCCGCCCCACAACAATCACGAAGGACAACGGAGTGTTTCTTCTTGTGGGAGACTCTGATGTGTCCTATGAAGGTGGGTGTTGGAGAGAGGGCGGCTTGGAGCTGAATCTGTTTGTGGGTGATGTCACGAATCCCACGGGTGGCAAGCAGAGTGGACGGATCGAATGGGGCGACCCCAAACCACTCTCGAAGAGGATCTCTTCTGCTTCTCACGAAGGTGAGTGGACGGAGTTTATTGCTTCTGGTGGCGTAGGTGTTGTGATGGAGGATGGCACGCTTGTGTTTCCTCTGATGGCGAAGGATGAGGCAGAAGACGTTTGCTCCATGATCATTTACTCAACGGACAGCGGCAGTGCCTGGGCGCTCTCTGAGGACATTTCCCCTGCGAAATGCCTTAACCCCGCGTCACCGAGTGGGAGGGATCACTTCTCATGATTGTTGACTGCGAGAATGGTCAGAGGGTGTACGAGTCGCGTGAAATGGGGACAGCGTGGACGGAGGCTATCGCGACACTCCCAGGCGTGTGGGTCATAAAACAGGAGTCTTTCAGAAGGAAAGCCTGCAAGCGGATGCCTTCATCGCCGCGACCATTGATGAAAGGAAGGTCATGCTGTACACTCAGAGAGGGAATGCCTCGGGGAAGAAAAGGGCCACTGCGCTCTTCCTTTGGGTCACGGACAAAAACCGCATGTTTTCTGTTGGACCGGTTGCCGTGGACAATGCTGCGGATTGGATGCTCGCCAGGACCCTGCTGCACTCGGATGGCAGTTTGCGTCTTTTACAACGGAGGGGCAACGGTGAGGGCCGTGTCATTTCAGTTTTCCCGCCTGACGGAGGAACTGAGTGCAATCAATTCCGTCCTCAGTAATTGGGCGCAAAAGGGCATTTTCTTCTCCAGCTTGTCTACACCCACGGCGGGTCTTGTGGCAGTTTTGTCCGGTGCGGCCAGCGATGACACGTGGAACGACGATTACCTTTGCCTGCATGCGATGGTGAAGGAATGCAGTGAAGGTCAACGATGGGCTACAAGTGACGGGACTTGAGTCCAGGGCAATATGGCCTGTGAACACTCGGGGTTAATAACGTGCGTCGTATTATTGAGCCACGACTTCACACTTGTGGCGTCGGTGACCATCGAAGAGACACCGAATGGGAACACTCCTCCACTGACTGCGGTGTTGGCGAAAACTGCGTCCAATCGTACCATGGGACTGTCCTACAGCCATAATAAGAAGTGGGAGATGTCGTGCGAAGGCAAGAGAACAACACGGAGCAGTACTTGGGAGCCGAAGGAAGAATAGCAAGTGGCACTCATGCTGCAAGGCAACAAGGACTCTGTGCACATTGATGGTCATTCGCTGGGGGAGGAAGAAGTGCCGTTGACAGGCGAGAGGCCACCTGATGCCCTGAGGTTTTGCTTTGGCGCGTGCGGTGAGCACGAATCTCATGTGACGGTGACGAACGTCTTTCTGTACAACCGCCCGCTGAATTCCACTGCGATGCGTGCACTCAGGGACAGGATCCCCGTTCCGACGAGAGAAGCGGCTCCGACACCGCCCGAGAAGATCCGAGTGGTTGACAGAGTCAGAGAGCACATTGCTGGGGATATTACAGAAGAGAAATGAATGGGCACGACACCCTGGAAACGAATCCCCACTACAAAAAGTCACCTCGCGGGGTGTGGAGCGGCGTGAGTCCCGACGACCGCCTCGCCTCTCCCAACGACGTGAAATCGATACTGCGTGATTTAATTGGTAACAACACCGTGCGTGTGTGCGTGTCTTGTGTGCCGCTGCTTCCTCTGGGATTGTATTTGTGTCGTGGCAGTCTTCTGAGCCGCAGAGTGTGGATTAGCGACTCCTCACGGAGAATGCACGCCGCATTGCCTGTGCTTTTACTGTCTGTTTTTTTCAATGCTCTTACTTTGTAATGTTCTTTTTAATGCAGTTTAGCTGGAGTAATAAGTACTGTTGTTTTTTATTTGCGTAATGTTTAGTTACTGCACACTTTAATGAGCGAAGTGTTTCTCCTCTTTTTTTTTTTTGTTTCCCACACACGGTGCCGGCGCTGCGACTGTGCGTCCCACGGACTGCGCGAAAGGAGGATTGGAGAGACAGGCCGGATGCCGCATGAAATGTGAAGGATGTTGTGTGGGCTGGTGAGACAGTACTTTTTTTTGTTTTAATTTGATTTTCTTCTTGGTGCGGGCAATGTGTATATTACACAACCACACGGTTCTCTTGTGCTGCTCGGCACATGAAAAAAAGCCCTGCCGAATCAAATTTTACTAATTTTTTAATTTTACTTTTGGGAGTCATGCCGGAGCCTCAACCTTTTTTGCTTTTTCCTTTTGTAAATCCCTGCGGGTTATTATTGTTGTTCTTGTACCCGCTGTCACTGTGTGTCTCATCGCGTCCCGTCGAGTCTCCCACTGTTGGCTGTGCTGTTGAAATGCCCTCATTCCTTTTCCTTCTTCCCTGCTAGAGGCGCCGATGGTCCGCGACGACGATTGTTTGTGTTTCCCATTTTTTGATGGCACGAGGGTGACTGGGCGCGGCCTGCAGAGCGCACTCGGAGTGGAGCGGATGGTGTGCGCCGTGCGTTATTGTGAGTGTGGATCGACACCCGTTAGAGAAGAGAGAAGTAAAGGACAGCGCCGTGGACTTGTATGCGCCCCGTCCCTCTCGTCGCCGCCGTGTGTGTGCCGTGCGCATGGCTCTATCTTGCGGTGCGACGTGGATGGCGGTGCTTCTGCGTGCGTTGTGCGGCGGGCTTCTCTTCTCCATGTCTTTCCCCTTTTGTGTGTGGGAAAGTTGTGGGAAAGGATATGTGCGGGAGAGTGAGCGTGGGTGGCTGCCAGCCTTGCCCTGCGCATTGGGGACTTCCATAGACGTAGATTTGCTTGACGGCGTTTCGCGGCTTCCAGGGCGTAGAGAGGAGGAGGATGGAGAGGGTCTGTTGTGGGCAGAAGGAGGATGGACAGGACAGTCCCCTTCCGTGTCCTTCTCGGTGTCGTTGGCAGTAAATACTGAGAGCATAAATTTGAGCGAGTGCGGGATGAAAGGTTTATGCCGCTTTGTGTGTGCTACTCAATCGTCGTCATTGCAGGCTGTCGTTACGCTGCGTTGTGGTGCGGTGCCGTTTGATGA